GTGGTGCCTGCACCGTGAGCCCAGCTGCTTCCCAGCTTGCAGCCCGGGCTCAACAACTCCATCGTGACCTAACTTAAGGGGGTTCAACACACAGAGGCAGCGAAAACCAAGACGTGGCTCTCCTAATTCATGTGTGGACTTCAGGCCCCATGTCTGAAAAGGTGGATTCCTGTCCGATGCCTATTTTATTTCCCCATGCTTGTGTTTATACAGTTGGAGGATGAATGGTTCTTTATTAATGCGTGTCCTCATTTTATTGTCAGAGTGTTTTTCCCCAAGGCAGTGCTGTTTGTTTAACATGCTAGGCAGGACGCACTGGGAGAAGGAGGGGTACCTAGAATGCAAAAACAGCGGTGGAGCAGGCATTCCAGTGTATCTCGGAAGCCAAGCAAAAAGCATATCCGAAGCCAGTGAGACATCCCGCATCAAAACTGAGAGCGAACTCACGACAATGAACAACGGCAGCAAAAGAGGAGGAGCTTTGCTGCAACTGGGGAGGGTTTGCGTCTGGTCTGCAAAGGTGGATTTTCCCAAAAGATTAAAAAAAAAATTAGCACGGCAAGTTCTGTCCACTGCCATGGAAGCTAATTTGGGCAGCCGCTCGGGTCGGACCCGACTTACTTGCCACCGGGTCCCCCTGGTGGCGCTGGATTTCCTTCTGCAACCATTTAGAGAGCGTGTGGGCTGACTCGGTTGCCACTATGGCTTTGACCTGTCCCTTCTCGGCGGGGTTCCCCCCCTTCTTATTTTTTTACTCACAGCTCTTCCTCCCTGGCGTTGCCCGTTTAATTCAAAGGCGGTGAGCCGTCTGCGCTTCCTGTTGACTCCCTCATTGGCCAAAGGGCTCCGTGTTTCGTAGACACCAAATAAAGCAACAGTATAAAAAGACGGGACGGGAGCAGCTGCTGTGCAGAAGAGTTTTGTGGGGGTGGTGAAGTTGTGAATGAGATTAACATTAAGATCACTTATTGTGCTTGCAGGCGTGGGGTGTGTTTTCCGCGATTTGCTTCCTCTTCTGAGGTCGAACGTGTTCTAGGCAAGGACATCTGTGTCTGTTGGAGCTGATGAATGGTAGCTTCGTGTTCTCACCCAGAACCGCTTACCGTTTTTCTCCTGGTTTGGAAAATCATTCCTTCCAAACATCAGAGGTTAGGATTAGCATTTCTGGGGTGAGGGCTGGGATCTAGGGGTACAGTTGGGGAAGGGGGCAGTGAAGGCGGCATAATGCAAAAGGAAGCTGCTTAACGCACCGTTCCTCCAGTGTTTTGGGGTTGAGGGGTGCCTGTGAAATGTTGAGACTTTCCTGGGCACTCTCACAAAATGGCTGCCATGGTGGCAGGGGACGGGTCGTCCCCATGCGTAAAATGGCTGCTTGAGGGGCCTCCATGAAAGACTCGTTCCCGAGAAGCAAATGGGTGAGCTTGGGGGCTGAACTCGGGGTGCATCTCATCTAATTCCTCGTATTTCTACACTGTCCAGGAGTTGAAGCTTTCTAGGCAGTTCACGAAGATCAAACTCTTAAAAATGCATCATTAAAACCGTTCAGCTGTGCACACAGACACACACACATTTATTTATTATATTTATATGCTACCTTCTTTCTTTTCAAGGCAGCTGATGTCGTTCTCCTCCTCCTCCTCCATCTTTTTCTCAGAACAACAGTCCTGTGTGGTAGGTTGGGCTGAGAGTCTGTGACTGGCCCAAAGTTACCCAGTGCGAGCCTTGGCTGAGCGGGGACTAGAACTCAGGTCTCCTGTGTCCCAGTCCCATATGCTTAACCACTGTACCACACTGTCTCTCTCTGCCTAAAACAATGTTAAACAATCAAGATTAAAAAAAATCCAGGACCTGGTTCATATGCCTTAGAGCTAAGCTAGCACCAAAAACAGTGGCACAAACATTGTTATCTTATCAGACCTCATATATATTGTAAAATATAGTTAATATCAGAACTATCAGTGTGTTAAGAGTGGTGACTTGGACATGCCCACAGTCAGAAGGACTTGGTAAGCCAAGATTCTGTAGAACTGAGGCATACCACAAGTAAAAAAAACACACCATACCTGGATCTCATTCACTCTAGTTTGGATGCACCTACCAGTGGGAGTGGCTAAACAAAAACTCAGTTGAACTCAGCGTGTCATCTCAGTCTGGGATTCTGGCTTGTCATTCTCTGAACAAGCCAGGATCATAAACCAGGATTTGTTTGTAGCTTAAGGATCCTGGCTTGTTTTGGAGCAACAAACCAGGATCCATGTTTAGATGTTGCACTACATTTGGGCTTGGTTTTGTTCTTGTTGGTGGGAATGAAAAGAGCGGCGTATATGGTAGTCCAGGATTCACATAAGCTGAACCCCATTGTATTGGATGTTCATTCTGGGTTGTCATGCAGCCTAAACCATGAACAACCCAGAAAACGAACCTTTTGTTTGCTATGATATGAATTCAGGATTGTTTAAACCATAGCTTATTGTTACATGTAATTGCAGAACCATGGTCTGTTAACTGATTCTTTTGTTAGGCTACAGAGACACCAGATGAGCTGTTAGAAAACTCAGCAGCTGTCCCTAGCAGGGACAATGTCACAAAAGCATTTTGGATATAAGGAGGACATGAGAGAAAGACGAAATAAACGCACACCCCTGCATCTGAGAAAACAAGCCATGGTTTGTTCCCTTATTTGCAGCCAAACTCTGGATAGGACACTAATCCGAACATTAAACAAACCATAGTTTAGCAGTATGTGTGAACCGGCCCGTGTGTGATGAGCAGGAATGACGTACACAAAACACCCAGCCCTCGCACTTTCTCTTTGCTGTGCCTTATTTGTGCAATCCAGAAGAGAACACGCTTCCCTTCCTAGTGGGATGGGGCATAGGCGGCCACCTAAGCCACATGAGTGGCAAGATGTCCGTGGCAGATGATTTAAAAGGGGCAGGGAAGAGGACGCGTGAATGGTGTGTACTTCCCCTGCCCCATTCTTCAGTGCCCCTACCCCGCAGTCCTGACGTGCCAGATGCCAAAGACCTGTGAGGCCGTTTTGAATCGAGGCCCAAGCCGAATCGCCCCTGCGAAAAGACCCGCATCCTTTCCCTCCCCTGCCTTGAAGCTGGGATGCACCAAGCTTTCCCAGCCACTTGCGTTTCCTCCGGTAATGTCCTTTCCTTGAATAGCGCTGGCAACAATTCCACGGAAAGCAGCTGAGGGCCATTCCTCTCTCTCATCTTCAGGTGGTCCGGCTTCAGCGCATGCCATTCTGGTGACTCTGCTCTTGTGTTCCTTCCCGGAAAGCCGCACCAACGCTGCAGCTCTTACCCGGTGCTCATCTGGGGGTTTTCTCTTACATAAGCAAGATGGGACCAGTCCGGATGCGCTGTTCGGTGCTGTGGTCCAGGGGTGAGGTGCACGAGAGGACGGGCGAGTCCAGGGGCTCTTCCCTGAAAGGTGCCCAGCCACACACCTGCCTTCGTGCCAGTCCTGCTAGCCAGCGTGGCCAGCGGCAAGGGACTTGCTGCCCACGGAAACCTCCTGTAATTGTAGCGCCAAGGGGCTCGCAGTGGGTGCCGGCCAGCGGCGCCACTGGCTTTGTCCTTCGGGGCCCTTCTGCTGCCGCACGGGATGCATGTTGTGGGTGCTGGGACAAGATGATGCAACAGAGCTGTGAGGTTTTGCACAGCCGGGGACCGGAGGTCTTGGCGTGAGTGACACTAGCTTGCCCAAGGGAGCGCTCAGTTCCATACGCAACTCCTTTGTGTAGTCGTGAACGCACGCGGAGCAGTAAGGGCTGGGTGTGGATCTGTAATGCCTTTTTCCGTGCAACCCTGTGAAACTCCCACTGCAGGCAGAGCAAATGTTTTCTTCTTCAAGAGACTTTCTGGCCCTTCTTCCGATCTCCAGTTTTAAAGCATCGAATTGGATGGTCTCAGACAGGAAACACTTGTTCAGGGTGCCTTGTGGTCTTTTGCAGCAACCGCTGCTCGGTGCTCCGTGGCCTGGCTTTTCCCTGTGAGGGGTTCCCTGGCTGTAATGGACGGCAGTTCCTATCACTCATGCCGGCTAGGAATGATAGGCATTGCAATCGGTCTGCTTCCTTTCCCCTGCTTCTCCCTTAATCCCCTTCCGTCTTGTTTGCAAGGGCTGGGGAGACGCTGCCCAAAGCTCTCTTGGAGCACCTGGCTGGGATGCAGGCCTTGCTTGGCTGGCGAAGGTTCTTCGTGCTGCACTCTGCCTCAGAAATGCCCGTGAATCCGGCTTTTGCAGTCATGGGCTTGTCTGTGGCAGGCAGCAGAAAGATTCGGAGAGGCACAAGACACAAACTGACTGAATTCCCACGTGCTTAGGAATGGCCGCTAGACGTTCGCAGGAAGCAAAGCCACCCAATTGATTTCTAGCTCAAAAGGGCTGACGTTTAAATGCAGAAGGCTTTCCCCCAGCACCCGCTGAGCTGAACGGCCGGTGTGGGGAACAATGGCTTGTGGAGAGGGTGGTGCAGTCCGGAAGAAAGGACGAAATAGCCCCTTCCTTTCCCAGGCAGAACCCCCCCCCCCCCCGAAAATTGCCTTTCCCCACTTCCTGCAGCCATTCTGTTTAACGCAGCAAAGCAAGGAGTGTTTGGGGCTCTGGCAAGCGGGTCCGTCTGCTTGGGAAACAGACTCAGAGCGGGGGCCATCGTGCGCCCAGCCCCAGCCCCGCTTCTGAGCATGTGCTCCCCCCCCCCGGCCCCGCCATGTTTGGCCTCGCCAGCCCTCTCGCCTCCTGCACTGCACGCTTCCCCTGGGCGCCCGCGGCGCGTGCAGGCTACAGGCCGCGGCCGCCCCGTGCGAGCTCGGCTGCTCCACCACGGCCCAGGGAGCAGGCCCTCCCTGCGCAGGGCGTGCAGAAGAGCCTCGGCGCGCCAGCGGCAGCTCCCCCGCCGCACTGGCGCACGGCCAGCCCTGCGGTCTGCTGCTGAGTCATGGCAGCGCCCGTCCCTGCGCGGCTTCTGAGAACCCCTTCCCTAGCAGGAGCCGTGCGCGCCTATGGTGAGCCCGTCTGGCTGCAGCCCAAGGGACGGACGGACGCCTTAGAGCTCCTCGGAGAGGGCAGGAAGGTGGGCAGCCAGCGCCCCAAGAGGCCAAGCACCCCACTGCTGGCACAGCAGCTTCAGGTGTGTGTCCGGGACTCGGGAGAGCCGAATGCAAGCCCCGCGCAGCGACTGCGAGCCAGCAGCTGTCTCTTAGCCTAGTCTCCCTCACGAGGCTGCTGCAGGATAGAACGGAGATTGGAGGACCACACATGAGCCCTCCTCGAAGAAGGGGTGGGACGTGAGAGCACGAAGCAGAAACAAGCATTAAGGAGCATGAGGAGGCAGGTGGAGCAGTCCTTGCAGGACTGTACCATGCCAGATTGTATGTGGGAATGGCATATTCGAATATTCCCCCGCCTCCCTCTTTCTTTGCACATGGAATAATGTTTGTTTGTTGTTGAAAAATAGTTCACTATGCTTTCCTTGCAAACGTGAGGGAAGGACTCGAGAGTACCAGTACCAAAGTAGTTGTAGCGGCCGCTACTCCTGAGGCACATGTGCTCCCTCCAGCTTCAGAATTAGCATCCCCTTGCTGGAAAATATGGGCAGGAGGGGTACTCTTGCACCCCTGTCTCACTTGTGGAATCCTTCGGGCGGAGAGCTGGGCACTGTGTGAACAGAATGCGCAGTTGGATGGTCTGACCCAGCCCAGCTCTCAATGACCTTATGTGCAATACGCAATTTAACTCAGGAGAGCTTCACCATCGAAAGCAGTCAACATGTAAAATAAACTGTTCATATCAGCCACTTAAAAAAAACCCCACAGGTAAACAAACAGGATTTGATATGGTTCTGAAAAGAGTGCAACCCAAGTGGTCATTTTGAATATTTCAGAGTCACGAGTTCCAAGCCCTCTTGGCTGTTGCAGGCTGCACCAGCTTTAGCATCTGAGCAGTCTTCAAGGGCAGCCCTGTGTACCATGCATGACAGTAGTCTAGCTGGGAGGTAACCGGGCAGTGAGCCTGTTTGGCAGACTATTCTGGCCCAGAAACACTCATGTCCCACCAACGCTGGTAAAAGACACTGCTCCAAACCACTGTTTCCAAGCTGTAGGCATGCTTTGGGCCACCCATAATCTGAGCATGAGCTAGCAAGAAAATGTGTGTCCGGACGTGTCTGGACAGATCTTCCACTTGCTCTGGTTTTAGGACACTGAATTGAAGCACCCACTCCATCTTGGAAAGCTTGCTCTTCTCCTTTCTGGCTTCCATGTTTTCAGCAAACACTCCTGCTGCACACGGAAGCCAATACTTGCAGACATGGGGGCAAGAAGTTGCAAGGGTGTGTAGTGGCTAGAGGGCAGGGTTAGGACTTTGGGAGACACCGAGTTCAAATCCCTGCTCAGCTGCAAAACTGTCTTTTTCTCGGCCTAATGTCTATCTCACCAGTTTGATGTGCACGTTCCAAAGGGGTCGAGGTGATGAGCAGAAAGCCATGTATGCCAACTTGGACTGTTTGAAGGAGCCATGCAACGTAACTATACTGAGAAAGAATAGACGGCTCTTTTGTCGTCACTGCTTTGGAAGAAGTTGGTGTTTGCTGGAAGGAAGAGATCACGGTCCTGAGACCCTGGAGGTTTGAATGCTTGCCAGAGAAGTTACAGATGCAACGAGCTTTCTCTGAACTGCGTCTCTGGAGGCTGTGCGGGTTTCTCTTTGTGAGTCAGGGTGGGCGAGTTGCCGGCATGCTCGTTCGCAAACCGGACATCAGCCCACCTTTCTCCGCAAGCAGAAGTGGAGGCTGCGGAGGAGACACGGCTGAAGCTTTCTGAATGGGATGGTCAAAAACTGTTTGAGAGCCAGGGGCTCCTTCTGCTCCTGAGGAATTGTGCAAGTTCCCTTCCCACCTGTGCCTGAAAGGCACCATCCTTGGACCGTATCTACTGCCTTTCTCAACCAGGCTTCTGCAACATCCCCAAAACCCAGTGTTTGCACTTTCTTCCGGGTTTCTCTTCCTCTGCTGGCGAAACTGCTGTGCCTACGATCTTTTGCAAGTCTTCTGGGTATTTTGAGCTTTGTACCAGGTCACCTTGTGTAGTTTTGCCGTTGCATGAACTGGAAATTTCTGCTGAGCTGGAAACTTTTTTTTTTCTTTTTCCAGGGGTTTGGGAGATGACACAGAGTCCCAAACCCTGATCAGCAGAAAAGTTTGACAGAGCCAGCCTTGGGGGAGTTTCTGGTAATCCACTTTTTCTTTTAGTCTTTACCCTGGTAGCCTCAGTGCCTCCGTGGACGGAAATCTCACTCTCTCGCTCATCTGGGTCCCATTATGAAGGGGGCTTAGAAGCACAGCCTCATAACGTAAGAATTTTGTGGTTCCCTCAGCCCTGCTCGCTCTTTTTTCTTTTCTCTGAACCTCAGCGTGCTTGGCTTAACTTAACATAACGTAATTGGGGCATTTTTGGGAGATGACAAAACCCTCCTTTCCCTCTCTCTCTCCCGCTCATGTTGAAGGTACAACAGCTTCGTGCCCTATTGTTTCCTTGACTGACTCATTTGGGAATGCTTTTTTCTCAAAATGACAAACAAGTTTCTCGAGCTGCCCCGAAACTTGGATTCTGGCATCGATTCGGTGCTGAGATGCCTCCCTTGAAGCACTCAGCGGACATGAATACACTGGGCATTTTGGCATTCTTGAGGCAGACGAGGGGCATCCATGAAAATGTCCAAATGCACTGAGCTTCCGTTTGTGCGTCTGTATGTCGCAAACTAGATCTGTGGTTCATAGCTGCCACTCAGAAGGCTCCCACCACATCAGAGTGGCCCAGAAAGGAAAACTCTGCCGGCTGCGTGTCTCTGCTCCCATCAGTGCCGCAGCGATAGAAAGAAAGTGTATGGGGCAGAATTTTCTCTTCAGTGCAGCTGTTAAAGCAACAGGAGTCCCATCAAAGCCGATAAAGATCTGGTACTGCCAATTTCTTGCAAGAAGGAATTTTACAGCATATTGGTCTGCAGTTGGGTAGTCATTCAAATTGTTTTGTTAGCTGATTTTTCTGCAAAAAAGCTAGGAAGTTTTCTTAGCTGAATGGGAAAGTAAAAACCTTGCATGCAAAAGAGACTTGGTTGAGACTTTTTCAGCAAAAAAGGTTTTTTTCTATCAGACACCACAGTGTCTCTTTATTAAAGGACTGCCTAATTCATCTAATCTGGCTAATTCTTGCTGTTCCAATAGAGTTAATGCATCTTTCAAACGTGTTTTGGCAAAGTCTGTCAGGTCCTTTCTGGGGAAGAGTGTTGCACAGATAAATTTTGTGCTGGTTCAGGTGAGTGCCTGGAAAATACCTTGAGTTTTTATTAATAGGATGTATCAAAGCCAGGGACAACATCTCCCCTGCCTGCCTCCTGTCTTACAGCATTTATCTCAAAAAGCAGTGCAGAGAGATGCTGACAAAGAAAACTGGTGCTTAAGGTTTCAAAAAATATAGAAGGCTATAGCTTTTTTTGGACTAGATGACCTTTTAAGAGCCCTGCATTCCAAAGGTCCTGAGCCTCTGGACCTGACTTGGCCGTGTAACCCAATATATGCTCACCAGGAAAGAAACCCCGCAGTCTTCCCTGGAGCTTACGTTAGTCTCAGTTTGGTCCCTGGTAACTGTGCATGGAACATAATTTAAGGCCGCCACTCAATGACCCCCAAACACACATTCAACAGGATGCCCCCCCGAGAAGCGCTGTGTAGGACCAAGCAGTCAGTCGGTTGAGCTAAATTGTTGTTGGCTTGATTTCTTTGAACCTGTGCTAGCTATTTCCACCGCAGTAGCTACAACACCACCACCACCACCTGCTTGTTTGCTGTCCCTGTGCAATGCCCCGTTCCTGGCCTCCTGGAACGGGCCCCGTTAACGCTGTGTCCTCTTGTATTGGAGCAGGACCCGAATTGCTTCTGGTCTGTTTGTTGTGGTGATGGTGGCTGGCAGCGAGCGGAGTGGCATGTATTGACGCCGTCGGGACAAAATAAGCACGACCCCGCTGCGCACCCCCTGCGACCGACAGATGAGCAGGGCCGTGCCGCGGGGCCATGCCTGGCCTTCTCCGAACAACCGCCACCGGGAATTCTGCGCAGGGGTCCGTCTGGCCTCGGGCAAGCCTGCCACAACTCTGCTCACGCCGTTTCTTCTGTGCTTCCACCCCAAAATGCATGCATGCTGGCTTAGACCTCGCATTCCTCTGGCCTCCGGGCAGCTGACTTGTCACTGTTCCAGAAGAGCTCCTGTTTCAGTCCTGACGGGAGTCTGGCATCGGCTGGATAGGTGAGCCGCTGTCAGCCAGGGGAAAGTCTTCCCGCCCCGCCGAAAATCATTCCATAGCTACGGGCTGCAGTGGAACACAAACAAAGCTATTCACGAGCGCAGGGTTGCGTGTGTGTTGCAAACAAATAAAGGGGTGGACTCCGTTGCTCGGGATGTCCGGCTTCCTTCTGGTGAACTGGGAGCGCGGAGGAAAGAATGTGGGCTGCAGCTGAGCAGAAGAGACGGGCGCCGTGAGAACGCCAAGGGAAGTGGAGCCGATGTGCGTGCGGGGGGCTTGCACGGACCGCTAGCCCCAACAGATCTCTGCGCCCAGCAGCCTTCAGCCACCCACCTGGCGCCCGGCAGATGCTTCGGCTTCCCACTTGCAGCATCCCTGCCCATGCTGCATGCTGGCTGCAGTGGATGGGACCAGAAGTCCAGAGCATCAGGGGGCTGCCAGCTTGGCGAAGGCTGGCGTACGCTTTCTTGGAATAGAAACAGTGCGTCAGAAGGGCCCTCCTGGGCCATCTAGTCTGACCCCCGGCTCCGCTCATGACATGCCCAAAGGAATGGCAGAAAGAAGGCTGGGATCCGCCAGAGGATCTGTGGGTGAATGGCAGCCGCTTGGCGAGTGTTTCTGGCTCCCCGTTGCCTGACAGCAACAACAGCTAAGAAGTCTTCTCCTCACCCACGAGATGGATTTTTGCCCTGAAAGGTCTTGTGAGCTCAGATTCTGCTCGCACATCCCTGGGCTACACACACACAAACACACTTGCAGGCTTCCTGTTCCTTAATTCTGTGTCTGCGGCAGTGCCTTGCACCTGGCCTCGGTCAACAACAAAGGCTTGTGCTCTGACCATCTTCCGAGTTTTGCTTACCTAATTCTTCCGGCTTGGGTCAAAAAAGAAAAAAGAAAGCTTATTGTAGAAAGGGGAGAGCATGTGTGTAAAAGAGCTTTCCTGGTCTGTACTGCGGGGAGGCCCTGAGTGCAAGCAATCAATTAACCGTATTGATAATGCAATGAATAACAATCTTGGACCCAATATCTCCACCTCGAACTTTCTTTCTCAGCATCTTATTGACTTCTGGTGGAGGTAACTTTTACTGCCTCCTCGAACAACGCCAGGAAAGGTTTGCAGCCTTACAATCTAGGGAATGGTGACAACAGCAATAAGCATGCTTATATATGCCATCTTATTTGAATTTCCAGTGTGTGATGATGCAGTTCTAATGGGGGAGTTGCTGCGGATGCTTAAAAAAGCAGCGCTTGATGAACGGTTAATATTACGGGACCAGTGATGGGTTAATACATTCGGAGCTGGTTGCCCCATTTGCTTTGGTGGAAAGTTGAACAAGTTGAGTTTAAACAGCAGAGGATGGAGAATACAATTTCTACCAAATCCTCTCTGGAGATTACCTTCTTCCAGCATTAGAATTTCACCTCTGCTTGGGCACATGCCCCTGTTTGTCTCCCCTCACCCCCACATGCATCTTCGCAGCGGCTTGCAGGTTCGATCCCCCGTGTCTACAGTTATACAAGGATCTTATTCTTTAAAAGTCATTTAAGTACAAGATTCAACTTCACAATTAAAAAGTCCACTCTACTCTCTTGGAATGCAAACGCTGAGACGCAACCGCCAAAACCGGAAGCTCCCATGAACTGTGCCTCCTGGATATTGTACGGTTTCAAGAACTAGGCCGTTTTTGCACCGATCAATTAACTGCTGTATTTTTTGTTCAGTTCAAAAGTATTTATTTCAGAGATGTTTTTAAAACATACCATGTTTTCCAAACAAAACCAACAACCCACAAACTTGGTGAAATATGGATGTCAAGTCCCCACTAACTGCAGCTCAGCCAGTCCTCACCCACTTTCCTGAAGCCACAACATTATAAAACCGGAAACAGTTTATCACAGAATACTTTAGATTGTGTTAATACTTACTGAAAAAAGACATTCTATTTATCTGGTCACAAAGGGGACCAGCAATAAAAACATAGGGCTTGCATGGATAATTTGCAAGCACATGCATTTTTGATGGCTCAAAATGTTTGTTTCAACAAGACAGTATTTTTGCGCTTCTGTGTATGGCTGCTTCCCTTTTGACATCTGCATAAATTTTGCTGGAAGTTGGGAATTGGCATCTCCTCCCCAGTGGAGTGGGGGAGAGCTTAACTGGAGAACTTAATGGGGTGGAGCAGCAGTTGCTGGCCAGCTGGCCCAAGTAGGGTAGCCATGGGGCAAGGAGGCCCCCGCCGGGTGCAAAAGAGACCCCCTTCCCCAGTTCCAGCAGACATCAAGTGGGGGATATTAATTACCTTTATTAAACCACAAAGCCTGTTTAGAGGGTGTTTCTAAAGTCTCCCTTGCCATGAAGATGTCCAGTGTAGTCAGGAATGAAAAGAATTCACTTATTACATTGCATTTATATCCCAACCTCTCTCTCCTGTGAGGAACTTTCATATCCCACTCCGCCTTGCAAACAATATTCATTATATTAACATAGGTATAATCCACTTGCAACGTCCAATTATTACATTTATTCAGTGATTTATAATTGCCTCCCCTTGCAAAGAATATTGTATTAATATGCTAATATATTTATATCACACCTTCCCCTAGCAAAGAATAGCAGTTAGATTTATTATTACATTTATAACATGCTTCCTCCTTGCAAAGAATGTTACATTAATTCCTTCATTAAACAGAGAGCCTGTGGCTATGGGGGGGCATACCTGTGGCTATGGGGGGGCATACCAATACGATAAATGGATTGCGTCTCCCTGCAGCAAAGGCTATTGATTTATTAATAAATTGCCTCTCCCTCGCAAAGAATGTTAATGGCATTTATTGAATCCACCCCACGCCCTCTTGCAAAGACCATGATTAATGCATATGATTTATACATTAATATCGTTAATATATGCCTGCACGCGTGCATGCCTATCCCACCGGGGGCACTTCATTGATTAGAGGTCCGTCCTGCTTTTTTGCCTCTTCTGAAGAACGCAAAGTCGCTTGCACCGTCCTCTTAGTCCCCCAACGACGGCCCTGCGAGGTAGGCCGCGCCGAGGGGCTGGGCAAGGCCGCGGCCCCTGCAGAGCGGGGCGGGCGCCGCCGCCGCGCGGGACTCGAACCCGGGCCGCGCGGGCCTGCAGGCGGCGCTCGAACCGCCGCGCCGCGTGGGCGGCCCGCGAGCCCCGCCCCTCCCCTCCCCTCCCCTCCCGCCCGGCCGGCAGCTGCTGCCTCGCGCCCCTCCCGCGCGGGCTCCTGGCCCTGGGCCAGTTTCCTGTTTGACGTCACGGCCGTCCTGCCGCCGCCGCCGCCGCTTTTGCAGCTCCCTTTACAACTTGCGCCGCGTTTCAGATGTAATCCGAGAAGCCCCCCCAACGGGGCAAGGTCAGCTGCCGACGCCCGGGGAAGAGAAGGGCTTGATCGCGGGGGCAGAGGGCTTTCCGCCCCCTCCTCCCCTGCTCGGGCTTGCTTCTTGCCTTCTCTTGGAAGCCTAGCGTTGCTTCGAGGTTCTTTTTTGAAGAAGAATAGTCCTAGTAATAGTGTTAATTTGCTTTGGGGTTTTGCACGCCGAGAGCGCAAAGAGGAGTTCTGTGGGAGAGCAGCGCAAAAAAAGGGGGGGGGATTCAAATTGACGGCAGAACGACTAGTCCCCAAGAACTTCGGAGCATGCATCAGCCCCTTTTCTAATAGGCACTTTTTCTTTTCCTTTTTTTCCTTTCCGGCGCAGCTGAGTGCCTTTTTTCCTATTTTTCTTGAGTATTTTTTTTTGCACGGCGTAGACATCAGTCTTCCGAGGCGTGCCGATCGCAGTTCTTTCGCTTCTGGGAAACCACCATGGACAGAAAACAAGGTAGATGTGTTGCAACCGTTTGGAGGAGAAGGAGGAAGGGAGTGGGGAAAATACAATTTAATAACCCCTAAACCTGCACAGCGGAGGAATGGGTTGCGTTGCATTGGCGATGTTTTCTCGAGATTGTATAAAATGCCGCGTGCAGTTGCTAAATTCTGTGTGTGCATACAGGAAGATCAGCTTGCCCAATTGCAAAAACAAAAAAAGCCCAACAATACAATGAGTAACTAGGAGAAACTTGCATGCCTTTTTAGTGGTGAGGCAGGGACAGCAAGCTTGGGAGACGCTGCATTATGAGCATGCAAGTTTGCACCGGGATCCCGGGGATTTTATTCTTGTGCTTCTCTGCCGAAGTTCCCCTCCCATCCCCCACCGGCGTTTTTCTGCAAAGCGTTTTAGTTCTGCAGGGCGAGGGTGAGCTCTGAATTCCAGTTTTCGCTCGGCCGTTGACAGCCCGTCCTGTCCTTGCTGCATCTGCTGGCTTGTGTGTCTTGCAAGAGGACTTTTGATTACCTTTCTTCTCTTCTTCGCCCTTTTCTCTCTCTCCTCTTCTCCTCCCCTCCCTTTCCTTTGCAACTTCTGCAGTCAAAAAATACCAATTTGGTCTTGCAACAGAAAGCGTCGAGAGTTGGAGGTTAGGAAGGCTGGCAGCCTCAAACTGCCCTCCCATGGGGTGAAGCAACTTTGCAAATTCTCCAATTCATTGAAAGAGAAGGGGGAGGTTGTTTAAGAGCATTTCCTGGCTTCGTGTTCTAAATCCAGCCGTCAGATCTCACCAAGTTGGAAACTCTTGCTCCCAAGTTGTGGCTCAGTGTGTTTCTTCCACTGGTGCAAGGCGTTCTTGCAACACGTGCAGACCACAGTCACCTAATTGGGCATTATAAGATGTGCATTTTTGGTGTGTCTTCGTGCATGTTGTGGAGGCACGTGAATGGCAGAAAGGACTAAACCCCACCCTGCTTTGATCAAGTGGAGGCTGCTGTGGGCCTTCGTGCATGTGTGTTGGATTACCACAGGAATCCAACATCTCTAACATCCAAGATAGGATTCCTGAGAACTACTTGTCTGTTTGCACACATGGAGCAGCAGTGCAGAAGTTTCTGGCTCTGCTGATTGAAGAATAGCTTAGCAGTCGAAAGGTCAAATTTGCAAATACTTATTTAATTATAACTTTGGTACCTCAGTCTTCACTGCTGGAAAGGGTCTTGCAGAGCAGGTCTGGAATCAGTAAAATCTAAGAGTTCCTGCCTTAAGTTGTAATGCTCCGATAAGGCATGGCATGCAAGGAAGAGGTGATGGGGAGGGTAGAGGAAAGCAAGCATACTTGGGTCTCGGTTCATAGCGTTATAAGGTTTTTAGAGCATGCCACTGCTGTAATGGCTGTAACACAGCTGGACTTTGCTGGTCTTCCACTAAAGCTTGTTTTGTGGAACAGTTGTTCTCCAAGACGTGTTTTGATCTGTCACTGCTGCTCTCAGCTATGTTTCTGCCCCTGCCTGCCATGCATTGCACAGGTGTATGAGTGAGCAATATGCTCTAAACATTTCTCACAGTTTATTGCAACACTCCTGCAAGGTAGGTCAGCAGAGGCATTAAAAGTTCACCCGAGGCCCCTCAGTGACATTTGGAACCAGCGCCTTTCCTCTCCATAACTCCACCCCTTAACCAGCCCACAAGCCTGAGTTTAGACTGTAATGGGTATTAGTAACTGTCATTACTGGGAATTAATTGGTGGGAGGGGTACTATGCCCCTTTCCTTGCCTCTCCCTGTCCAGAGCTTAAATATTTCTTGCACTCTCCGTATAATCCCAGTGGAAGAATGCTAAATGCAAGGAATATGCATCTCGGGAACATCACTGGCTCATATCGCTGCAAGACCATCTGTCTGTCCCTAATCATTTTGACACCTGGAACAGGCTCCTGGTGCTCCCTTTCCAACCCTGCTCTGGCACTGCTCAAGTGTGGTAAAGCGCTCCTTTTAACCCAAGTTTCATATTTTAAAATGCAGTAAAGCGAAGTTAAGCCTTGTAGGCCCTTTTTTTCCTTTTGCTCCAAAACTGCATAGGATCGCGCCCTTTACCCAACAGCAGTGGAATAATAATTAGTGTGCCACTCTTTCTCCTCCTTTCTCATCCTCGCTCCACCTCAAACTCATGAATAGCCTGATTTTTTTAACTTGCTGTCAAAGATTAGAACGGATGCCAAGCGTCAAGCCCTGTTGGTGCGTCTAATTTCCAGCAGTGACGGGGTCTAAAATGAGGCCCGTTTCCAATCGCTTTTGATACTCCTCTCTCTAATAACTGACTCCAGTGGAGAGAGCCAGTAAATTGGAGCCCAGATGTGCCCACACAGAGAAGTAAGAGTTTTGCAGAAGGATGAATCTTCCCTTTATAAAATAAAAAGAATCACAGGAGTGCAAAAGCACAGGTGGCCGCACTGCCCAAGGGCGCAGAAATGCGAATGGAACATGCCCAGGGTGCAGAAAGTCGCTGGTTTGGCTGGGGGCATCTCATGTGTCTTTTCCCTAAACTTAATCCTTCCTTGGTTCAGATGAAACAGCCTGCACTGTAGATTTTTCAGAGGTGGCAGGAGGCTTCTGTCTTCTGCTAATCTTTCCGATCCCAGAAGACATGGATCTTTCTGATTCCATGTCCTCTCTCACCACATTGCCAGGTGCAGACTGGAAGGCCCCAAGCAGAATTCCACCCCCTTCTGTAGAAATAGCAGCCCAGAATAAAAATTCAGAAACGGAAATATAAACTGAAAAGTGTGTCGAGAAGGCGGGGAGTGATCCAGGAGTGCACTCTTTCCGAAAAGAGTTGATGTGTAATGATTTGGTCTTGGCTGCTAAACACTTAATTTGGAATTGTTACAACTGGAACAGAATTTGTCTCCCTGGATGACTGTACAATTATGGTTAGTGCGGAATGCTGCAGCCGTAGTCTTGTCAACAATTGGAGTGGCCTTCCTGAAGAATTTCCATTTATTTATTTTTTACCACGAGCCACGCATTAGAGAAATTAGACACAGGCCTGACAGCAAATGCTAGCAAAAGTAGCACATCCAAAGTGAAATTCAAAACAAAACGCCAGCATTTTACTTAGAAAAATGGCTCTCTGCAGGATTGTTTTGGCAAGACGAGGAATCAAGGGGTTGGCATGGCCTTCCATTGACCGGTCAAATATTGCTAATTGACTGTTTCTCTGCAATCAAATAAAGTTGCCCAATATTCTGCAGATTCAGAGAATGCCTCCGTGGAAGTGGAAGCTTATCTTTTAAAAATGAGTTGTGTTTGCTTGCCCTGTATGCCTGCAGGAGGTTGGGCCAAACCTGTCGGTAATCACATGGGTTCCCTTGCTGGCCACCTGCTCTAAGCTCTGGGCAGGGACACCAGCCAGTGCTGGGCGGCCTTGTGACGACCACGATGCCAGCTTGCGTTCACTTTGGGACCTGGCTGTTCCCCCTCTGCAAGCTCTGTGGAGTTCCTCTTGAGTTTTGGCATCTGCCCCAGAAAAGGTATGAAAGCTGAGTATGATCGTTGGGCCGTCATGGCCGATTCACTGATTTTTGAAATTCCGCATAAGTTGCAAGTCTCTTGAGGGTGAGCATGCTTTAAGTGGATCTTTTTCTCAGGTCAGTTGACCAGACCCTTCTAAAATGGGCAAATATTTTGCCCCGGGGTGGCCAGCATGGCATACAGCTTTCCGGCATTTGCCACCAGGGTTCAACAAAGTGTACCCAGTATACAAAGGACGGTCCACACAAGGTTGCTGGCTTTGTGCCATCCGTCGTAAGGTTCTCTGTCCAAAGCATTGCAGGAGATGAGTTCTTACCCAGCCTGGTTTCTGATACCAATGTTAAATTGTCAAAAGGATGCAGAGGATCTATTTCCCTCTCCATTCCTTTATTTCCATGAAGCAAGCAAAACATTTAAAAGAAACTATGCATCGGTGGCTATTAAGGACTGTTTCAGGGCTAAATTTGCCCATAACCAGCTTGGCTCGTCTGGCGATTTGAGGGTTGTCTCCAGGCGACAAGGTGACAGGAAGGTCAGCCTTGGACAACTTTGCTTGCCCTGTGGAGAAGGCCAGTGGTGTCTTGCAGGTGACCAAGGTGGCACCTTTCCACTCGGCTTAAAGCTGTAGGGCAGAGCTGCAGGATTTTAGGGTCTCCAGTCCAGGCCCTCTGGGGTCTCACAACAGTCACACCCCATCCTCCGTCCCTAGCTGTGCCCCATTTCTCCTGACCATCCACTGTGAGGTTGCTTGCTGGCTCTTGGACCGGGCTTTGCTGGTTCTAAAAAATGGACATCTCTCTCCTAAGGCTTATTTCCTGGCAGTAACAGCTTTAATCAAAAGATGCTGGCATCGGAGTGGGGATCGGCATGATCTCTTTTGCCTTCGACCTGCTCCACCACTAGAAGGTAGTCCCCAAGGGCTTCCCCAAAGTTCAGTTTGGCCCTTGGCCTAGTTCCTCACTCTCTTAACGGGGATTGTCTGGTGTCGCCCATCGAATCTTGTTGCCTCTCCTATCTCAAGCTGGGAGGAAGGTCTGGAGGGTTTGTTGAACAACCACCAGATCCACACGTTGGGGGAATTCTTAGGGTGTAATCCCACATGAAAGTCCCTTCCCCTTCCCAGCTGTCTTCTCTGCTTCGTGCAGGGGGTGGATTCTTCCCCCGTTGCCAAGCCTTGGCTAGTCAAAAGGACTGAAGCAGGGTGTGTGCAGCTTTCCGGCCTTTTGGAACACGCCCTCCAGGCACAAGATAAAAAGCACTTGAATCGGCTCCACAGACTGGCACGTTCTGCATTCGTGACGCCGGCTCTCCCGCGACTCAACTTCATGCGATGCGCCTGCCCATGAAGTGCTGTAAGACAATTGCCATCGTCGTCATTGTTGGCAGTCCTCCTTCCGCCGTCGGCTTCTGCAAGTGGAGACAACCTGACATGCGGATGGTCAAGACCGATCGACCCTTGGAACAAACGGCCCACTAATTCTTG